CAGCAGGAAGCACCTGTGATCTATGACCTTTACACTGCTACAAAGATAAATCTTAAATCCTGGGACCCACTGTCAGTACTGTGAGTGTGTGTATGTGTCTGCACCTGGTGTTACTTAAAACGTAGGGAACCGATCCCTGCTTATACACTCACACTGTGGGCACTAACTTACCTATAATAGTATCAAGCCATGCAGATAAGTCTTGGTTTATTTTTCCAGGCTTGGACTTACAGTAGCTACATCCATCCCAATACAGTGGAGGTGAAAGGAGTTTTTTTGTTTGCTTGCACTGTAGTGGTCACTGCACTGAAAAAAACTACAGTAGTGTGCCATTACACTGGGTAATCCACAGATCAAGCTGTTAACAGGAAGTGAAAATTGTAGATATTGAGGTCTGTGCAGAGTAACTGAGTCATTGTTTTTAGAAAAAGACAATGCTGTTTCTTTTGTAGTTTTTTAGCACTGTGAGCACACCAAACAAAGTGCTCTTCATCCACATGTCAGTCTGTCTCCTAAAAATATCAACTTTGTATTTATAAATAGTTTTAGTTAGTTAGTTGTGTTCTGGTGATAGATGTAACCACTGCATTGAATATGTTCAGAGGAAACTGTTTTTAAGTGAATAAAGTGCTTAAACCAGAGCACAAATTTAGATAACTTTACAAATGCTCTAACTTCAACCAAGTGCTGTAAGCATAGCCATATAAATGTTGTATGATGCGCCGGTCACTATGAATGAATATATTGGCCAATAAACAAGAATTTATAAACATAAATTCTGGCAGACATGATTGGTTTTATATGAGGATGGAGATGCCTTAAATTAAACCAGACCTATCTATATGGTTACCATAGGTGGTAAGTGCAAAATGGTTACTTTATTATCATTTTGGTGGATAATCTCTTTTAAAATGAGTAGCCTACTTTGTTGTCAGTACACCTGGTACATGCAACAAGATGTACCTCTTGCTGCCATCCCTGTCCTTCACAGTTGTGGAAAGTAACTAAGTACATTTACTCAAGTACAGTACTTAAGTACAATTTTGCATTTTACTTTTCATTTTCTATTACTACATACTTTGACTTTACAAATTTTATAGGCAAATATTTTACTTTTTACTCCACTGCATTAATTTTATAACTTTAGTTACTAGCTACCCCCCCCATGACATTTGGGGGGCAGCAGTGGTGTGGCGGGTAGAGCAGTCGTCTCCCAACCAGAAGGTTGAAGGTTCACATCTTGGTGCCTGTAGTCCCCATGTCGAAGTGTCCTTGGGCAAGACACTGAACCCCCCAAGTTGCCCGTGATGGCGGCGCACCATGCATGCAGCGGCCTGGTAATTTCGACCTAAGTGACATTTTGAATGCAGGAGCTTTAACAATGACAAGAAATAAAATAACCAGATTAATACAAAAAATACTGTATAATTCAGAGGTATCAAACTCACATCACACAAGGGGCTGAAAATTAAAATTTTACTTCTGGTACTTTAGGTATGTTTTTATGCTAATGCTTTTGTACTTTTACCTAAGTGACATTTTGAATGCAGGAGCTTTATTTTTACACTGTTATATTGTTACTTTTGCTTAAGTCAAGGATCTGAGTATTTCTTCCACTGTTGGTCTTTCATCATTAATACAAAATGGATGCATATTGTGTCTTAACATCTGGCCAATGAATCCAGATGAATCTTCTGCTCAAGCCAAAGACCCATTTCACAGACATCACATAAAGTAAAAATTAATTAATAGAAATGAGAGAAATAAAAAAGTTCTTTCAAATGTGGCTGAGTTGTGAGCTGTCCAAAGGAAGTGATTTGTCAGAGCACAGCCTCCTTGGGGATCCTAAACCAAACAAAACACCATGGCCTGACATCATCTCCATCATGAGCTTCACAAAGTACAGAGCGAGCAGCAGATACAGTCCCCTCTGTGGTGGGTGTGCCTTTGTATTACTTAAAGTATGTGTGCTCTTATAGAGAGGGTAATGGGATAACTGCTCTGAGCTGATATTATAAAATTATGTAAAGCACAGAAGGTCTGTATGGGGGATCCCGTATTAGTCCTTACATACACTAAAGCCTGTGTATTATCTATCATATTTGTGTAAGCAGCAGCTTTTATGTAATGTAATTTGTGTGATATTCAATGCTGAAAACGACTTTTTATGCAGTGTATAATTAGTTACATTTTGTATAGCAGTTTACTTACAAATATGCGTAGGTGTCGGGCACACACCAAACCAATGGAGCCATTTTGATCTGGACCACAAATCACCAGTACTGTTGGCTGCTTCTTTGCTAGAGAGCTCAGAGGGTAGGCCTGGTAGAGACACAAAGAGTTGGATTCATAAGTGAACGAGTGAATGGAAAGGTTTCAGACATAGAGGAGATGTATGGAAGAGAAAATAGAAAGTGTTATTGATAGAAAACAATAGTGAGACACCAGAGAAGATGGTCATCAGTGTGCAGTACAAGTTTTTCATTTTGTGCAGGTCATCCGATCTGTGCCTGTGCGTCTCCATCATACTCACTGCCTGACAGCAGCGTACCAGACATGCCAGACGTGGGTGGGCACAGCACCAGCTTCATTGTCTTTTTCGTCAGATAGCAAAAGTCCAATCTCATTAAAATAACCCTGGCAACAGCGGGAAAAATATCAATGTCCTAGCTGTGGGATGTTACCGTATATATAACAGATTTTTCATCTATGTCCTGACTGCACAAGGCTGCTGGCAGCTGCCTGGCTTCTGGTCCTACATTACCTTGTAAATCACCCCACACCTTCTTTAACAAGAGATTTGCCTATGCAACTGTCAACTTGAGTGGTTAATTTTTGCCTGGCAGTTTTTACACAATTACGTTATATAAGAATGACTATTCATCATTTTAAAGGTCATGGCATCATTTCCTAAACTAGAAGAAGAAATTAGGGAAGCAGTTCACAGGGACCTCTGGAAATCCTGTGTAGTTAGAGAACAATATATGTGTCAGAACAGCACAATAAAATACAGTAGTTACATTTAATCTAGAGAATATAATGTGGTAATCCTATACATAAAAATAAAAGTATCTTAGCTGTTCCTAGCACTGCACTCTTCTGGACAGAGATCTCAGATGTTGTTCCTGGGATCTGTTGGAGCCACTCTCCCAGTTTGGGGG